GTGTATGTCCGACAAACAGTATTTATAACTTTGAAGAAGGGAGGTTTTGGAGGAGCGGGCGTGGGAGAGATGATTACGGGAGAGTAGGGATGAATTGGTTGAAAGAAAGGGGGGGGAGATGGGATTGATTCTGGACTTACACATTCGTGGTTCTTTACTCAAGTGGCACGATCCTGTTTGATAGGACATTGGATTTGAAGAGCATGCCTCCTAAATACACTTTCAGTTTTGAAAGGGATGTAAGACCCACCCCGTTCCACATACCATGTCATATGATTATCGCCAAACGGACACTTAAAAGTGTCAGTCCTGTTTCAGTCCATGTGTTTTTTTCTACTTTTATAAACTTATCCTTCTAGCGAGAGGTTGGATGGAGCGCACGACTGAAAGGTACTACCTTTTTTTATTCCCTGTGTTGCCTCTGTCTGTCTGCCTTGACATTCACTCACTGCTCACTGACCCCATAATCCACGAGGATCGTTGGGGCACTGTATGACAGAGAGCCTCGTTGGGTGCCTCCACTTTTCACGGTTTTCTGCGAGCGCCCTTACAATTTCACCATTCTGAATTGCCGTCGATGTGGCTCTCAAACTCAAAAACTTCTGCGGGTACTTAAGTAGAGCTGCTTCTTGGTGCTACCTCTTCACTTACATTTATGTGGCTTCTATCTGCCTCTTTTGTTGTTGTTGTTGTTGTTGTTGTTGTTGTTGTTGTTGTTGTTGTTTTTCCTGATCGGAATCGCCCCCTATTGTGTCGTCCGGCTCCTCAGATCCTACCGAAGACACCGAGATAAACAGCGTCATCTGTCGGAGACACTTGATCACGTGACAAGACTATACCACCCCACACTGACCTGCTTCCGGTTGAGGTCACTGGTCAAATCGTCTCCGGAGCTGGAGGCCTCTGTGTTGACCTTGGCCCGTGCCTGCAGGCGTCTGGCGGAGTTTAAGATTACGCTGAAGGTCAGCCCGACGACGGCCCAGCGGCTGAAGGAAGAGCTGTGTACACGGCGTCCCCCGGTCAGTGTCGGGCTATTCCCCACCTCCTCCCAGCTCGCCAGACAGAGAAACAGACCAGCTGGCTCTTAAAATGTTTTGGGAGCATTTTTGGGGAGTTAAAGGGAATGATGTTTAGGAATAAGGTGAGGGAGGGAATAAGGGAAATACATTTGGGATTAAGTTTTGGGAAAAGAGCACACAGTTTGGGAATAGGGAAAGAATGTTTGGGAGTAAGGCGATGGGAAGGTTGGGGAATAAAGGAATAATATTTGGCAATAAGGAAACAAATCTTGGAGAAAAAGCAAGAAATGTTTGGGAATAGTTTAGGAATTAGGGGAGCATGTTTAGGAATAAAAAGGGGACGGCGGCTGTGTGTGCGTTTGATGGGTGTGGAATTGGATGGTTTTTGGAGACAGGGAGTAGGCCTATATGTTGGGGGAAGAGCCTGACGCGGGTAAGACCATGGGTAAGAGGTGTTACGATTGGGGCTTGGAGGGTCTTTTTTTCACCAACCCTGTGAGCCACTGGGGTTACAGAAACCTCCTC